CCACTACAGAACCACTCAATTATGTTATCTGATTCATAAAGAGCATGCTTGTTTGTGTATTTTAAGTGAGTCCATAGACTTGAACCCTACTCATTTCCCTAAAGAAGCCTGTTTGATGGAAAGCCCAGATCTCTATCAGCCAGAGGGCTCACTTTTGTTGGAACTGATGGGAAATGCAGATAACTGAGCCACTTTTATAGACGACCCTTTCAAGAGCTAATTGCCCTAAAGTGAGTATTTATTTCTGATCACTTTGGTTTAAAAATAACAAACCCTATAGGATATACATTAAAGTGATACAAACACAGTATAATCTGTCAATTATTTTTTTTCAAATAAAAATAAATTTAAAAAGACAAAATAGGTGCTTATGTCACATTTGTTAAAATATTTTAAAGCAAATTATAGACTTATGTATTCAAATGTAATTAAATTTTCACTGAGACTTCACATGGCCATTAGCAGGGAATCTCATCCCTTTAACAACAAAAGAATCTCAAATCCAATATCACAGTCCTCCGGAGTCCAAGACTAGGTTTTTTTTTTAATTAGCACATGTTTACAGTACATAATGATTACATTCATCTTGGGGAGTTGAAGCCTGTACAGAACAGATCGGAATGGATTTTATTCCCCTACTCCTCCTTCCTTTCCTCTCTGCGGTCCATCTCTAGGTCCTCTTCCCATCTGCAAAAGATCTATCTCCTTGTTTCCTATGTTTTATTTTGCTCTTTAAATTAAATGTAGAGTTTTTACAAAATAGATGTTTTTTCTTTGCAATCTGGACTCTAGCCCTTGGTGATCTCAATGGATCTTAAGACTTTAAATGTCTCCACCACATTTATCGCTCCAGTCTAAACCTCTTATGCAACTTCTGGGCTAGTTTATCTAACTACCTACTGGACACCTCCAAATGAATGTTTAATAGGCATCTTAAACTTACATTGCCAGCAACCGAGTCCACGTGTTATTTATCATTTGTACCCCTCTAGCCTTTAGCTCAGTCAGTGTCTAGTATATAGTAAATGATCACGTAACTTGATTTTACTGATTGAACTTCTGTTTTCTAACTTCACATAAAACCAAACATTTCAGAAGAAAATTTTATTGCAGCTGCATTCCATTTCAAATGTTATTGTGCGCCTATGTTATGAAATATAAATATTACAGTTATAATGGGACTGAGCTTTTTGACTTAAGCTCACTTTATCTTTGACAAAAGAAAAGTTGAGCCAGTAGATAAAGATATCAGGTGTAAATTTGGCTAGCAATACATTGCCATGGGAAAATGTGTCAACCTCATCAAAATCTTCCTTATATTATCACAAGCCATGTAATTACCTCTAGTGAAAGGAAGCTATGGTGGAAGGTGTTAGGTCTGTCTGTAAGACAGATGTGGTGGACTTTTAAATGAGCAAATTCAGCATGCTGTGGTCCTTCTGTGCACCAGTCCTGCTGCTGGACCAGCACAGCCTGTGTGATTTCTTTCTCTTTTGTTTTCTGTAGGAAGAGACAAGAAGAGAGATGACCTGACCATCAGCTGCAGAGACACAGTAGTTCACTATAGGAAGAGTAGGCATTTTCTTGCCCGCTTCTCTAAGATTACACTACTCATAAGGTCACCCCGTGAGAAGGTACAAAAGCAACATCCTTCCATGATAATTAAACATGAAAGAAAACTGTGTACTCAAGGGAGTGCCGACATCAGTGGGAAGGCTGGAGGATCTGAAGAAATAAGCATCATTTATAGGCAAGGCCTCCTAAGTAGATCCAAGGAAAGCATAGATTGGATGGGACTGGGGGAATGGATAAGAATCATTGTTGCTTCCATAACCGCAAGCATATTATAAGCGAGATGCTGTTTAAAGCACTTGAGATGCTTTCATTCCAGCAGTTATCACAAGAACTCTATAAGATCAATACTATTTACCATCCAATTTTACAAACAAATGAACTAAGGCAGAGGAAGTTAAACAATGTACCCAAAGCTAGAATTATTTTTATTTAAACATAACCTATGTTCTGATTCCTGTTTTTTTAAGATATCATTGGCAGACATATTGACAGGGGGAAAAGCTAGTATAAATACAGTTTACTATTACAAGGATACAGAATTTAATCATCACAGTAAGAATGTAAAACTGAGAAATCAGCAATTTTTTTTTTCTTTTGGAAAAGACAGAGATATAAGTTTGTTTGACCCAAAATGCTCACCAGGGAACCCATGTCTGAGAATGACTTGTAAATGAGGGAAGAGAGGAGGGCAGAGGGATAGAAGGAGGAAGGGAGGAGCAAGGGAGGGAAGGAGAAGACCTTTGTCAGAGTCCAAAGGAACTGCACATTTCAATCTGCACACCTGGTATTCTGGCATGATTGCTAGTGGCATCCTCCTTGTTTGTCTGAGCCATCTGCTTGGACAGTGCATTAAATGATCTCTCTAAGACCTGGTGTCCTGAAACGCTGATTGACCCCCTGCATTGCATGTGCGTATAACTGAGACCACATGCCTGTGTGGGCCTCATGTGCCTTTTACCTGGGCCAGGCACCCCTCACCGATCCTGAGGATGTGTGAACACACTCCACACTCAAGACCAGAGGACACTGACGTTCAGACATGCACTGACTCTAGCTGTTCACTTTGTCCAAGGAGCTTTCTGTGCTTGGAGTTTACACCAGCACCAAAGCTGTCTTAGGCAGACATCTCGGAAGCCCAGGCTGGGAGGTTCATTGGTTAGTTATGATGGCCGACAGTGTCACTTGCACGTTAGTTTGGCTTTCTACCCAAGTCCTTCAGAAAAATGGTCCTTGGAGAAAAAATGAAAA